CCTGGGGTTTTGGGGGGGGGGCGGGGGGGGAACTGGCAAGATTTTACTTTGCCGGCAAGATTTTACTTTGCCAGCAAGCTGGGTTCAGCCCAGGCAAAAGTTTCCCGCGGGGAAGGTCGTGGGTGCGGGATGACCTTGAACCCCAAGGCTGAGCTAGCCCCTGGCGCAGGGGCTTTGCCGATGGGATGCCACTAAACACGGTACCTTCTCCCCGAGCTGAAACAGCCGGGATGAACTTCGGCTCCGCTCTAGCATCCGCGGCACTCGCGGACACAAGCGCGGTGGTAAAAACACGGGTCTGCTGTCGACCTGCAGTGGTTTTGAGCAGCTCATCTCTCTTTTCCAGGCCTGAAGTCAAGAGTTTCTCTGCTGCAATGACAATAATAAGGCTGAGACACCCTTAGGAAGGTGGCATCTCCCGTGCCCTCGCTCCCAGGTGCGGAGGCAGCTCTTCGTGGGAAGACTCGAGCGCCGTGGCCACGTCCTCGCTCACAAACCGGGGTTGATGGTGTGTGTTTTGGCAGCGAAGCTCTCGGGGGTACAGCCGGGGCGGTCTGCAGCGCGTGCAATGCCTTCCCGATGTCCAGGCTGGAGGATCCAGGAGCGGTTGGGTCAATGATCCTTCTCGACGAGTCTAATGCTAAAAGCATCATGGAGTGACCGGTGCTGCCGGGGGCTAACTCTCCTTTTCCAATTTCTATCCCAAAGCTTTTCCCTTCCGTGGATAGTTGTCCTTAAAAGCCGACTTACTGCTCCTGCTCCACCTGAAGCCATAACCCTCTCTGGGGACGAGCAAGTGCCACCGTCCCTCTGGCCTTTCCGCTTCGACAGCTCGTGGCGAGGTGCCCGGGACGGCGGTGAGTGGATGCGTTTGTGGGGAGCAGCCGGCACGAGAAAAGCGAGTCCTGTAGCTCCGACGAAGCCCTTCAGGCCGTTTGCAACGGCTCCACAGGAGCTCCCGGAGGCAAAAAGCACCTGGAGATGTTGCTGGGCTGGTTTGCGCTTGGGACACGTGGCTGCTCCACGAAACGGCTGCGATTCCCCCCAAAACTGATGCGGAAAAGCACCTCCTTCCCCACGGGATCGGGGTGGCCCCGAAGGTAGGTCTCAGCCCACCCCCACGGCATCACGAAACACCTCTGGAGCTCCGTGCTTGGGGCGAGGATCCCCCCAAACCCTGCCCCGATCTGAGAAATCAAGGACACCCCAAACGCCGCCAGGTCGGGACCATCCAGCCAGTTTTATTTCGGGCCCTGGCTCTGCAACCAGCTCAGCCGCTGCGGCTGTTGGAGGTGCGGAGCAGCAGCGAGCGGAGCGGCCGGAGCGCGTTCCGGGCAGACACCCAACGCAGTGGCCGCTTGCCGCAGTCCCAAACCCCTGAAAAACCTCCGGAGCCCCGGACGGAGGCAACGTGATTAAAAACCCAAATTGCATCGCGTGGCGGGAGCCAGCCGGGGCTCTGGACCAGGGAGTCGCTGAGCATCGCCGGCACGGCAGGATGGGAGTAACCATCGCCCGGCTCAGCCCCCTCCCTGCACCATCCGAAACCGCGCCGGGGCACGGCATCGCCAGCAAAATAGAAACCTCCACCACTCATTTTGCTCCCTTTTTTTTATGTGTGTATGTATATATATATATAATATATATATATAAACCTTGTGATATTGGTAGTTAAGTCACCGGCGTAACTATGTCGGATACAAACAGCTCTAAGATCAAGAGTAAAAATGACACGGTCCAGATTGTCTCCTCTTAGTCCCCTTGCCGCAGGCTCTGAAGCGGTGACCGGCTCCGGCACGTGCCTTGCTGCCTGGCTCAGCCACCGCGGCCCCCCCG